CCGTCGATCGCCACTAGAATGATACGCCGCTTCTGCTTGTGCCGCTTGTGTTTCGTGTACTGCCGCTGGAGGTCTAGAGTGGCTGAGGTTGGACAAAAAATGGAAGGGAGAGGAGAGGGTATGAAGAAGAAGAGAAGATGGGGGTTGCGGCACACGTGAACAAAGAGGAAAAAATTAACGGTTAGGGTTTGATTTTTGTTTTGTTTTTTTTAAATTATTTACTGAAATTAAATTTATATTAATATATTTTGAAAGTCAGTGCTAGTCAGAAAAAGCTTTGTTGGTCGATTAACTTCAAGTTATAGTATTAATGGCTAGGTCGTGGCTTCAATCCGTGATTTATGCATTTTTGAAAGATTTTTGTTTTTTTAATTTGTAATTTTCCTACTTTTCGTGACGATTAAACATGTGTCGGTAGCCCTATTTGACCACGTTTTTGACCCATTTCCCATTATTATTTGCCAAAAAGAACCATATATTCTTAAAGTAGAATATACATAGATTATTTATGCATAAAAGTCAAACTATGGTACTTTAGGAAAAATATGAGATAAATGCGGTCAAAGTTGGAAGAAAATAACAGAATTCTCTCTTTTGCAGAATTGTGCCTGGCGCATTTTTGGAGGGCAATTTGTCAAAACGCACGTTTTGATTAATGAAGGGCAAGGAGGACATTTCCCACATGTTCAAAATCGTGAGTCCAAGTCCAAGTGAGGTGGTTAGGTGAATCTCAATCCTTTTTCACCTAAAATGGAGGGGAGTTTCAACCAACCTATGGTGCTATAAAAGGAAGTCATCCATCCCTCAGCAAATCATCTCTTCCAAGCTTCATTTCATCTTCTTTTAGATGCTCTCTAGTTGAAGAACACGTTTTTAGGATTTATGTTCATGTTCTAGTTGTTCATTTCTTCGTTTTTCACACTTTTACCTTTCGTAGTGCTTTTAATTCGAGTTCTTACTTTCGTTCTTTGTTCATTCTGCTCTTTTAAAGTTCTTTAGCGAGTTTCAACTCCCCTCATGCTCGAGAGAGAAGAGGGTTAAGCTAGAACTCCTTGTACGGCTTATTTATTCATTTAAATTCAATGAAAAATACTTTCTTTATGTTTTCGTGCATTTACTTTCATTTAATTATGTTCTAAATTAGTTATCAACCTCCTTGTGGAATGCCTTAGTCAAATGATTTGATTTTCAACACGCTCGGGATTTTGGCCAGATTGCGCCTGACACTTTTTTTGGGTTCGTTTCTAAAAACTTCTCTTTACGTCTTTTTTCCATTTGGCCAGTGGGAACTTGATTTATACACTAAAGCCCAACCTTGGGAGAGGTGAGTTAGGT